GCTGATGGGTGGAAGGCAGGGTGCCATGGCTCTGCATTATAAGGAGCTGGATTGCCAAAAGTAAGGTGCTCTGGGGCTCCCTTTACTGACTTGATTTTGTGATGCTGCAGACACGAGTACATATGTTTCAGGTCTAAAGAGAGTTTTGTAGTCCTCTTGAGAAACAGCTCAGGATGGCAGCTCACCCCTGGTTTGCTGGCTCTTGACCCAGCAAGTTAGGAAGATCACATCAGGTAAGTAGTTTATCCCTGGAGTACCCCAGTTCTGGTGATGTTACTTATGAGCTAAAAGTCTGAGGGAAGTCCTTCAATCCAAGCCTAGCTCCATTTTCTAGAAAACATATATACTAACCCAACTCTAGAGTGGATTCACTGAGTGTTAAAGGAATCACTAATTGTTGTTACAGGTTTTGAAAAATCAAGCTTTTAATGAGTAGTACACTTATTTAAAGAACATGATTTTTTTGTAGAAAATGGAAATGCTTTAATTTTTAAATTTAATTTTGCTATTTATTTAATGTGCATCTTAAATGTCTCTGACTGTGCCATTATTTGCTATGATATGTAAACTCCCAAGGGCAAAGATGATCTCTGCTTCATTTACTTTTTAGAGCACCCAGAAAAATGCCATAAACAAGTAGGTTTTCAATCCATATGTATGCTTTTCCTGCAGATTTGAATATAAACTATATCCTGTACTCATAAAAAAATACTATTTTGTTCTTATTTTAACCTTTTTTTGAACCATAGCCAATTTCATTCAAATTTTCCAAAATTCATACTCAATGTATCATTTCTAAATGTATGTCACCATTTATATAATGGTTTGATTACTTCATGTTTCTTTTCTAATACTTTCATCCTTTCTTACAGTTCTTTAGTAGAAGCCAGGTTTGCATTGCCCAGGTAGGAGCCTCTGACCTACTATTCAGGTTAGGTTTCTTCCTAATATTCATGGCAACCATCTAGCTTCTAAAAGAAAGGCTTTTGGTCTTTTCAATCACTTGCCCATCCTGTGCTTAGAGACATTACCACATCTTTGTTTGCTACCTCAACAGAGTGGCTTTAATGGTGGGAACTTCAGTGAGACGGCGTTGTTACCCAGAACCACATGACCTAATTTGGAATTGATATTGGCATCTGAGTCTTAGATTTGTAATCAAATCCACAGTTCACCTTTCAGCTTCTTCTGGAGTCACGTTCAGCTTATCTGCCAACATGTTAAAGCTGGTACATTGGTGGATGTGACAAAAAGTCTAACACATGAAGAGACTACCATTTTCAATAAAGTCCTCAAGACAAGCCAAGAAGAAGTCATTCACAAGCACTGATTCCATTCCCTCAGCTTTTCCTAAGACCCATCAAGATCAAAGTTAACACATAAGTATGTGTTCACCAAATTCTGTAATTGGGTCTTTACTTGTGTAAGATGCTTATCGAATAATTTTGACTAGATCTTTCAGCACCGGTTGGTGTTTCTGGACATCTTGTTATGACTGCTGTTGTCAAAGAGCGGAGAGTAATGTGGACCCATTGTCTGAATTGCACTGAGAAACTGTGGCTGGTAGAAGAAGAGATCAATACTATTATCAGAGTGTGATAATAGGGTGCTTGAAAAAAAAAAAACAGAGATGAGGGAATGAGCCATGATCGCTTTTGAAGAGACTGGAGTGGAGAACTCACAGAATTATCTATCATCTCTTTTAACCAGGTATGGTCTTCCAGGGCTGCATCCCAATCCTGCATTAAAATTTCAGAGGCCAGTTTTCCCCAGAGTGAACTTAAAACATTTTTACCTGTTCCTGGAGCTAAAACTCTACAAAAATGTGAAGATACTCTGCTGCTTTTGAATAATTCCCGCATTCATATTGGAATTTTGCATACCTATAGAGCGTATCTAAATATTCCTGCTTAAAACCATGCTTGTTGGGACCAGCAGTTGGCATAATGACTATGTCGCTGAACTTCCAAGTAGTCTGTGGTTCGACTCTCGGACCTGGTGACTTAAACTCACACCGGGCGCGCATGTGTGTGTGTGCGCCCAAGATCCCGAGAGGAGAATGGAGGAGAAGGGATTGCAGCAAGGCCATCCTCCCTGGGGGGTGATTTCCCGCTTTCTGTCTCTTTGCCTGTCTCTGTCTTTCTGGCAGGTACATGTGCCCTATAGCAAAAACCTGTCCAAAAAAACCCCAAATAAATAAAAAACCCATGCTTGTCTGCCAGATTGTCAAACAGCATCCAACCATCCCTGGTTGACTGTATTCGTCTTGTAGTTTCTGGCTCTTCAAACATCTTCACAATTGGTTCTGTCTCCACCTGAAGCTATTTCAGATATACAACTGTGGTTCTTTTTTCTTTCAGAGCGTGAGGAATCTCATCAGAATAAAGGTTCTTGTATACATCCATAGCAAAGTCTAGCATGTTCGTATCACTAAGATCCAGTCTCCCTCATGATAACTTTGTCATTATATATCTTCTTTACAGAGAAAAACTCAAGGAACAAAAGACAAGATGGTGGTCCAAAAAGTGAATGATACGAGTAGTCAAGTCGTACACCATCACCTTGCCAAAGAAAAGGGCCTTATTTTAACTTTTAAGACCAGAAACCTAACAAACCATCTCTACTGGAGCAGCATTGAATGACTTATGTGCAGTACAAATGCATACCTATTCGTTTATTTTCATTTAAAAATATTAATACTAATTGGCTTTATATTTTTTAAGCCAGATTTTCTTCTTGAATATTAATTTATTTCTTCCATGAGCAAGGGACAGAGAGTGAGAGAGAACCCCCACCAGTGTCTTGTTGCTGAGACCCACCCATAACCTTCATCAAGCCCAGGGCCCTAGGTATACGTGTGCCTGGCATACTTACAGAGCACACCAGACTTGAACCTGGAACCAAAAACCTTCCCATGTGAGCCTTGCATCCTACTGCTGCATCTTCGTCTGGGTCTTATTTTCTATTTCTTTCTTTCTTGAGAGGTTTTCGCTATAGGGCGCGTGCGCTCGCCAGACAGACAGAGAGAGACAGAGAGACAGAAAGCGAGAAATCACCCCCCAGGGGGGATGGTCACGCCACAATCCCTTCTCCTCCATTCTCCTCTCGGGATCTTGGGCACGCACGCACACGCGCCCGGCGTGAGTTTTAAGCCACCGGGTCCAGAACGCGAACCGCGGTCAACTACGTGGGAGTCCAGCGACATAGCCATTACGCTAACTGCTGGTTCCCTGATTTTCTATTTCTATCAAATAATAATACTGACTTTCTATAAAAGTCTGCCTCATATAGAAAATGTGGAATATGCTGAAAGTCATATTGGAGGAAGGAGATGTTGTTTGTAATTTCCATGCAGGAAGAGGATCACTTTGAACATCTTGGTATGTTTTTCCTATGTGGTTCATTTTAAGGTACTGTTAATAGTATCTAATACTTGATTGATTTTTAGGCTTTCAAAATTTTTTTCACTGTGATTTCCATCTTTTCAGTTAGTGATCCTGTGTTCTTTCCAGTAAGAATTATTGTTTTGTTCTTTTCAATGTATTGAAGCATGTTGTGCTTAAAGGAAAGAGTTTGCCATGAGCTGCTAGTGACTTATTCCTGTTTCAAAGGAAACTTGTGGTTACCATGAAGGAAAATTTAGTCCACCTTGCCCCAGTGCATTTGTTCTCCTGAGAACTTGGTGAACTCCTTCTGACTATTTCCCTGGGATTATGTCACCCACCAAGGTAACTTTCTGTTTCAGTAAATAATGTGACGAACCAAAACAACACCCCTTAAGTTAATCAGTCTCGGAAAATAGAGACTGGCTTTATATTCCATGGCTTTGATGTGTCTAGTAGTTCCTGTAAGGATTTGTCTCTCTTTTGTTTTGATTGACAAGACCTTTCCTATATATTTGAGCAATCAAGCAGCCCAGTAACAAAGAGTAGAGACATTTACCCAGAGCAAACTTCTACCACTCATTGTGACTTTCTGAAACCTTGAGTGTAAATTGCAGCTCTAAAGAAGAGGTGGCTGTAGCAGAATTAGGTAAGTGCTCCTCCATGTTCCCTTCCTCCTGAGGGCAAGACTCTTGAAGCAGACTCCCATAGAGTCTACTAAAGTGACAGGTCAGGAGTAGGAACTGTAAGGTCAGGTTTGGAAATAAACAACTTTGCAGACCATGTTAAGCAGTAATGAATTGGGGTTATCCCATAAATGCAACGTCCCAGCTCACTTCAACACCCAGGCAGGTGTTGGGTGTACGAGACTGAAGGGGGCATTCTGGCTCCAGTGGTACAGTAAAGGACCAAGACCCAGAGAGGAGTGACTTTACAATAGGTAGGGGTTATATTTTAAAGACCTCCAATGCCTTCTGCCGTTTGAATTTAGACTGAATTCTACATGACTTGGTGTTTATTATAATTGTAGTATAGAGCAGAGGCAATTTGTAGTGAATAGGTGACATTTTTATACATGGCCACCAAACCAGGGCCAGATTTCATAATATCTTCTTTGTATCCATGTTTTGTGGTGGGTTGGGTGAGTGACAGTATGTCTAGGACATACTATTGTTAATATTCATCTACTTTCTTCCTTTTATTCCTTACCTATGACACTGAAAATTAAATTTTTTATCAAAGCATATAACATGGCACTCAAATGCTCTGGACCTGAAAACAAATAACTGGTGGATATTCATATATTATTTTAGGATATGCATTACTTTTGGTGTTGCTTGTATCCTGTGCTCCTTCAGAAGAGGACATTGGGATAAACTTTAACACACAAGTGAACTCTAGCAGTTGGGTCACAATAAGGAAAAACCAGAGAATGGAGTGGGAGGACTGAGGGTCTAGAGAGGTGTGTGGAATCCATAGATACTGGAACAAGTTACAGGAAACTTTGGGCACCTGGGTTGGAGTTTGTGGGCATTTATAATATCTTGGCTCATCATTTCTGAAATGCTAAGAGCTCCATTTGACAGGACCAACACATTGTTGGCCGTCCTATGAGGGCCAGAGGGCCCGCTATACCTGCTAATCTCCATTTCCTTTCCCTCCCTGGAGGAACAGCATGAAGCTCGCATACCTTTTCCTTGGCCCCATGGCCCTTCTGCTTCTGGCTGGCTGCAGCTGCATTCTCAGCACCTCGAGCGAGAACCTGCGCACCTTTGTGGGCTGTGCTGTGAGGGAGTTTACTTTCCTGGCTAAGAAGCCAGGCTGCAGAGGCCTGCGGATCACCACGGATGCCTGCTGGGGCCGCTGTGAGACTTGGGAGGTGAGTAGCTTCAACAGGTGTAGATGGCAATGTCTTCAAGACCAGCTGCTTAGACCTGATTCTTAAATGTTCACTTTTTGGGTGATATGAGGTAGAACCGGGACATCTGCCTTTTCCTGTGAACTAAAAATGCAAACCGAGTAATTATTTGGCTCTTCCAAAAATGATCTGAAACACATGATTCTATCCTTCTATCAAAGCATTAGTAATTTGACTTACATGGTGTCTATATATCATTTCTGGGATGTCTTGACCATTAATCTACTCATTTACAGATCATATGGAAGGATTCAAAGGGTGAGGGACTGCCAAATCAAATGTAAAGTGGTGTAAAGTTGGGAATAAATCATTGGTTCAAGCCTGTGACCAAAACTCTTCCCTGAATCCCCTCATCTTGATAAAGTCAGCCAGTCACCAACTAAGAGGCCCTACCCTGAATGCTGAGTGGGTCATTGTCCCCAGCCCCACTTTCAGTACCTCAGCTGTAGTCTTGTCCACCTCAGTTTCCTAGTGCCTTCAGGGACTGTCACTGACAGGTCTATGACATCCTTTTATTCAGTAATATCTGGCTTTTTTTATTTTATTTTATTTTATTTTATTTATTTATTTTTTTAGACATTTCATTTAAATCAGGGTCAAATACTCCAAGTTAGAATCTTACTGGGCTGAGATGATCAGGTATTTTGGGGGTGAAGAAGAGGAATCTGCATTCGACACTCATCAAATCACACATATAGTGGTTCACTGACTTTTTATTTATTTATTTTTTGAGAGATTTTTGTTATAGGGCAGAGAGACAGAGATACAGAAAGGAAGAAATCGCCCCCCGGGGGGATGACTCTTCCATTCTCGTCGCAGGATTTGGGGCATGCATGCACATGCGCCTGATTAGTTTCAAGTCACTGGGTCTGGGACTCGAACCGCGGTTGACCATGTAGACGTCCAGTGCCTAAACTACTGCACCACCTACTGGCCCTGGTTCATTGACTCTTCCTGAGTCTGAGTTGGTCACTGACAAAAGACCAGGTCTGATCTTGTCACTCCCTGGCTCAAACACCTTTAGTGACCACCTCTACTACAAGTGCAATAACCAACTTTCAAGGCCTCTGCCTACCTCCCCAGAGATTCAACATTCTTAGTTTCATCCTTGTCAGACTGACTTTTACAACTTCAATTAAAGTGACCTCATGAAATCTCCTTTGGCCCTTTTCTCACATCCCTTCTCTTTTCCATCTGTTGTTATATTTATTCTCTCTCTCTCTCTTTTTTTTTCTTCTCTTTTTTTGGAGAGGTTTTTGCTATAGGGTGCGTGCGCTCGCCAGCCAGCCAGAGAGAGACATAGAGACAGAAAGCAAGAAATCACCCCCAGAGGGGATGGTCATGCCACAATCCCTTCTCCTCCATTCTCCTCTCAGGATCTTGGGCATGCACGCACATGCGCCCAGCGTGAGTTTTAAGCCACCGGGTCCAGGACACGAACCACAGTCGACTACGTGGGAGTTCAGCGACATAGCCATTACGCTAACTGCTGATTCCCTTGTTATATTTATTCTCTGGTGCCCAGCTCCAGTGCCAACTCCTCTGAGCCTCTTCTGGCTCCCTGTCAGCCCTTTACTATATTTTACCTTTCTATTTACTTCTTCCCTCACCACACGCACTATATAAAGTTATTTTGAGGCCAGAGGTTTATTTTTTATTTTATTTTTAAAAAAGTTATTTTATTTAACTTTATTTATTTATTTAAATTTGATCAGAAAGGGACAGAGCAAGAGTGAGATCGAGAGAGAGAGAGAGAGAGAGAGAGAGAGAGAGAGAAGAGAGAGAGAAAAGAGAAAGCCACCATGTCCAGGATTCAAACTGCAGTCAGCCATGTGGGAGTCCAGCACCCTTAGCCACCACACCACCTGCTGGCCCCAGAGGCCATAGGCTTATTCATGTGACTTGCATAGCTTTTTGCCAGTGTCACGTATGAAGAAGGCAAATAAATATTCATTGAACTAACTGGACTCTCTACTTAGAGTTGTGTATCTTCTGGCTTAATGTAAGCCAACTTCAGAGCGTATGAGCACCATGACAGCACACTGCCATTCGGAAAAATATCCCTCTCTTCAGGGACTTGGAGAGCAGCCTGCTGTCACCTAGATAATGTGTGGGTGGCCCTACAAATGGAGTTGGGTTATGGTGTTGAAATCTCCAGTTAAATGAACCTACTCTACCAAATCAGCTTTATTTTTTGCATCATTCGAGGACTTGAAACCTAATAGCCAAATGCAAATTCAGTTTTGCTAAGTATACTTTGCCAGTTGACACCCAAGTTTGGCACCTTGTTATATTCTGAACTTAGCCTGGCAGTGGCTTTCTCTGCTTGAATCTCATATCTGGGATGTTTGGATTTCTCTGTACCAAAATCTCAAACTCCTTTCTCTCCTCAGTTTAGCCCAATCACTGGGACTTTGAATGAGTGGTGACATGGTCCAACTTACATATTATAAGGATCATCTGGGAAGCTGGCTGGTGGTGTGGTGGTTGAGGTGCTGAACTCCCACATGGTGGACAACAGTTTGAGTCCCAGACCTGGTGGTTTGTCTTTTCACTTTCTCTCTCTCTCTCTGGCCAAATTAAAAAAAAATAATAATAATAAGTAAAATTGAATAATTCTTTTTTACAAAAGGATCATCTGGGGTTTTTGTGTTGCAAATAGACTGTAAAGAGTAATGTTGGAAGAAGGGACGCTAGTCAGTAGATATTTGCAATGATCAATATTATTCATTTATTGAGCACTCCTGAAGCTTCCTGCTTTCAGGAGTTTGTGTTATGTCGGGAAGAGAAAGAGTAACAAGTAAGTAGATAACTAGTTAATTTCTGGTAGGATGTGTGGTGTCAAGATAATGAAACAGGGTGCTATGTTTTAATGGGCTTCCTGTTTTCTACCTGTGGGGACAGAAGCCCATTCTGGAACCTCCCTACATTGAAGCCCATCACAGAGTCTGTACCTACAACGAGACCAGACAGGTGACAGTCAAGCTGCCCAACTGTGCCCCTGGAGTCGACCCCTTCTACACCTACCCTGTGGCTGTCCGCTGTGACTGTGGAGCCTGTTCTACTGACACCACGGAGTGCGAGACCATCTGAAGCTGGCGTGGTCTGCAGAATATAGCTGGCAGCCTCGGGCCTTGCCCACCCACCTGTACGGGCAGCACAGCAGCTCTCTCCTGGGTTCAAGGACTGTTTAATTTCGGTCCCACTTGTGGAAATGGTTACCCATCTTCTTTCGATCCAGCTCAGACACAAGGCCAGATGCAGCATACTTATGTTAGACATGCAAAACCATATTGGTGCCTTCACCAAAGTCATTTTTTCCTC